CATCATCATCATCATCAACAGCATCATCATCAACATCATCATCATCAACAACATCATCATCAACAACATCATCATCAACAACATCATCATCAACAACATCAACATCAACATCAACATCAACAACAACATCAACAACAACATCGACAACAACAACGTCAACAACAACATCAACAACAACATCAACAACAACAACATCAACAACAACATCAACAACAACATCAACATCAACAACAACATCAACAACAACATCAACAGCAACATCAACAACAACGTCAACAACAACATCAACATCAACAACAACATCAACAACAACATCAACAACAACATCCACAACAACATCAACAACAACATCAACAACAACAACAACATTAACAACAACATCAACAACAACTTCAACAACAACAACAACAACATCAGCAACAACATCAACAACAACATCAACAACAACAACATCATCAACAACATCATCAACAACATCATCAACAACATCATCAACAACATCATCAACAACATCATCATCAACATCATCATCAACATCATCATGAACATAATCAACAACATCATCAACAACATCATCATCAACATCATCATCAACAACAACAACCTCAACAACATCAACAACATCGACAACATCGACAACATCAACAACATCAACAACATCAACAACATCAACAACATCAACAACATCAACAACATCAACAACATCAACAACATCAACAACGTCAACAACATCAACAACAATAACAACAATAACAACAATAACAACAATAACAACAATAACAACAATAACAACAACAACAACAATAACAACAATAACAATAATAACAACAGTGACAACAATAACAACAATAACAACAACAACAACCATAACAACAATAACAACAATAACAACAATAACAACAACAACAACAACAACAATAACAACAATAACAACAACAACAACAATAACAATAATAACAACAATAACAACAATAACAACAATAACAACAACAACAACAATAACAACAATAACAACAATAACAACAATAACAACAATAACAACAATAACAACAATAACAACAACAACAACAATAACAACAATAACAACAA